CTATAGTGGCGGAAGTGGATTGTGTTACCAGAAGGGGAACAGGAAAGCCCGGTGGGCAGACAAAACGATCATTATTAATGTTACAGCTCTTTTAGAATTCGTCTAGCAGGCTTTCCAGTTTTTACCAGAAAGCTCCCTGAAAAAAAAATTTAAAAAACAACAACAATAATTATTACAGTACCTACAGCGCCTAAAGGCATCATAAGTATGTGTGTATATTAGGAAAGACTAAGTCCTTAAAAATGCGGCACAAAAGTGACCTGAACCAAGCTTTGCCAAATCACAGTTATTATTATTATTAGGTACCAATCATATGGCTCCTATTACATGTCAAGCTCTGTATTAGGCTAAGTATACAGGGTTTTTTTGTTTTGTTTTGTTTTTGTTTTTTTTGAGACGGAGTCTTGCTCTGTCTCCCAGGCTGGAGTGCAGTGGCGTGATCTTGGCTCACTGCAGCCTCTGCCTCCTGGGTTCAAGCGATTCTCCTGCCTCAGCCTCCTGAGTAGCTGGGACTACAGGTGCCCACCACCAGGCCCAGCTAATTTTTTTTTTTTTTTTAGTAGAGATGGGGTTTCACCACGTTGGCCAGAATGGTCTCAATCTCCTGAGCTCGTCCCGCCTTGGCTTCCTAAAGTGTTGGGATTACAGGCATGAGCCACCTCACTCAGTCAGTATATGGATCTTTTTAACTTTTAAGTTCAGGGGTACATGTGCATGTTTGCTACATAGGTAAACTTGTGTCATAGGGGTTTGTTGTACAGATTATTTCATCACCCAGATACTAAGCCTTGTACCCATTAGTTATTTTTCCTGATCTTCTCCCTCCTCCCACCCTCCCCTCTTCGATAGGCCCCAATGCGTGTTGTTTCTTGCTACACATCCATGTGTTCTCATCACTTAGCACCCACTTACAGGTGAGAACATGCGGTATTTGGTCTTCTGGTCCTGTGTTAGTTTGCTAAGGATAATGGCCCCCAGCTCCATCCATGTCTCTGCAAAGGGCAAGATCTCATTCTTTTTCTATGGCCGCAAAGTATATATTAAATCCATGTTTTGTTTCTTGAGACAGGGTCTTGCTTTGTTGCTCAGGCTAGGGTGCAGTGACGTGATCACGGCTCACTGCAGCCTCAACCTTGAAGACTCAAGTAGCTGAGACTACAAGCACACACCACCACACCCAGCTAATTTTTAAATTTTTTTCGTAGTGATGGATTTTTTTTTTTTTTTTTTGGCCAGATTATTCTCGAATTCCTGAGCTCAAGTGATCCTTCCACCGTGGTCCCATGAAGTGCTGGGATTACAGGTGTGAGCCACTGCACCCAGCCTATACATGTTATTTATATCATTTCTCATCCTCACAACAATCCTGAGACATATGTATTATTAACCCCATTTTAAAAGTGGAGAGACTGGCCGGGCATGGTGGGTCACACCTGTAATCCTCGCACTTTGGGAGGCCAAGGTGGGTGGATCACTTGAGATTCAAGACCAGCCTGGCCAACATGGTGAAACCCATCTCTACTAAAAAAAATACAAAAATTAGCTGGGTGTGATGGCGGGCACCTGTAATCCCAGCTACTCAGGAGGCTGAGGCAGGAGTACTGCTTGAACCCTGGAGGTGGAGGTTGCAGTGAGCAGAGATTGTACCACTGCACTCCAGCCTGGGTGACAGAGTGATACTAGGTTTCAAAAACATAAAATAAAAGTGGCGAGACTGAGGCTAAAGTTAAGCAGGAAGTGAGTAGCTGAGCCAGAATGAAACTTGGGTCCTTCTGTCCATGTTTTCACCAAAGATCAGGCTGCCTCTTCAGAAACCAAAAGCTGAAAGCCTAGCAGAAGTTTGCTTAGACCATGTTCTGAGCCCTGGCAGGTGTGGTTTTGCTGAGGCTTTCATGCCCTTCTCAGCTGCAGAGTCCCTCAGCTCCCATGTCCTACAGACCCTCCCCGGCCACTGGAGACAGGTAACCCATTGTCTGTATATAATACACGGGCTTCTTCACCAAAAGGCACTTTTTTTTTTTTTTTTTTTTTTTGAGACAGAGTCCTGCTCTGTCGCTCAGGCTGGAGTGCAGTGACGCGATGTCAGCTCACTGCAACCTCCACCTCCCCGGGTTCAAGCAATTCTCCTGCCTCAGCCTCCCAAGTAGCTGGGATTACAGGCATGTCCCACTAGGCCCAGGTAATTTTTGTATTTTCAGTAGAGACAGGGTTTCATCACGTTGGCCAGGCTGGTCTCAAACTCCTGACCTCAAGTGATCTGCCCGCCTCAGCGGGCTGGGATTACAGGTGTAAGCCACCTCACCCAGCCTCCAAACGGCACTTCTCAAAGACTTAATCCCCTGGTTGGTGACCCTGCCTAGAATTTTCTAGAATCTGGCCTGCTGGGTGGGAGGAAATGTGGATGGGGTACTTGGAGGGATGCTGGCATGGTGAAAAATCAATGAGTGATGTCTCACCTGAATGATAAGAATATCATTCTTAAATATCAGCCCTTAAATATTCCCCCGGCCTCTATGCGGCCCCTCTGGCCCATTCAGCACTACACAACCAGAGAGATGCTCCTAGGATACCATCATCCCTCCTGCATCCACCCCTGCTCAGAGCCTCCATGACTCCCCAGTGCCTTATGGAGGCCTCCCACGCTCCTCCAGACCTAGCCCCTGCCGACCTCTCCAGCTTTTCCCACTGCCCCTCACACTTGGGAAGGCACGAGACTTGGAATCCCTGGCTATATGTGGCTATTTAAAAGTAATTAAATCATCAATGAACAATTCAGTTCCTCAGTTACACTAGCCACATTCCAAGTGCTTGATGATCCCCCAGTGGCTGGTGGCTACTGTACTCCACAATGCAGATATAGAACATTTCTATCGTCACAGAAAGTTCTATTGGACAGCACTGGATTGGACTTTTCTCTTAACAAAGGAGGCCCTGATAAAAGAATGTTATCAGCTTTAGAGGAATCCAGAATAGACTTGACCTATTTGATGACTCTTTCAATAAATATGCGCCACCTACTGTATTCCAGGCCCTGAATACACAGTAGTGGGTAGTACTAGCCGGTCTGTCCTGGGAGTGAAGAGATGATGGCCTAAGTACTTGGGCCCAGGCTGGGGGAGTGGTGAAGGCTCCCCGGACAAGGGCCATGTGCTCAGGCCTGCAAGCCTAGGAGGCACTGGGCAGGCAACATGTTCCTTTTTGCCCTCAAGGGCCCCATTTACACACTGTCCCACTGCCTGGCTGTTCCTCCTCTCTTTCTCCCCAGGGAGGGGAGGAATGGAAGCTAGTTCCTTGAAGTTAGTCCCTAAGATGGGAAAAATCAGAGTCCCTGTTGGGCCATTAACTTCCGGAGCTCTGGGCTGTAACTTCTACTCCCCTGACTTAAGGCCTCATGGCTGTGGGGCTCAGTAATAACAGGCCCCTAAGCCCCCAGGCCTTTGTGGCCACAGAGTGGAGAGCTCCCCTAGGAAAGTGGAACCTGTAAAGCTGTTGCGGAGATACTAGGGGGCTGACTGTACTTTGAGTCCCAGCCCAAGGTGCCAAGCTCCCTAGCTTCCACAGCCCCTGCGGGCCTGCGGGATGAGGCTGGGGAAGGTGTGGAGGACGGAGGCCAGGGTCTGGAGAGAACCAGGGAGGGGCCAGTGAGGCTGAGGGCGTGTCTTGGGGTCTCCTATTCTCCTGTTTCTGCTAGAGGCCCCTGCTGCTGGTCTCTTCCTCACACACACACATACCGGTGTCCACCCGCCCCCACCCCTATGCCGGCTGCCCCAGCCCGTACCCTTTCCTGGTGCCCTGGCCAATAACTGTGCCTTCCCAGCGATTTTGACAGTGGCAGCTAATTGCCCCGAATTCGGTGAGTGTTTCCTTCCCCTCATCGGGCACCCCTTTACGCAGGCATCCCTTTATGTGGCATGTCTCACTTAAGCTTCCTAACCGGAGGACGATTACGTAGGGACGATTATCTTCCCCTTATTACAAGCAAGAAATGAAGGTTCCAAGGCAGTAATCCGCAGGAGCCGGCAGTGACGGAGACCGTTCACGCCCTGCCGCCCCGCACCCCGCCCCCAGCCTCGCGCTTGCCTCTCAGTGTCCTCAGTGCCCGCCCGCCGGCCCCATCCCCAGCGGGGTTCCCGCGCCTCCCGGCCCTGCCAGAGCCCAGGGTCGCAAGGCAAGCAGGGCCAGCAGGCCCGGGGGTGCGGAGTGGGATGAGGGTCCGGTCCCTCGGTGCCAGCCTGAGCGCGAGGCAGCCGCAGAGCCGCCCTTTGTTTCGCGGCGCTTGCGGGTTCTGCGGAGTCACGGTCACATGGAGCTTCCGGCACGGGGTGTTCCGGGCGCCACGCCAGGGCCCGAGACGCCCCCGCCCCGTGGCCTGCCCTGCGCCGCCCGACGCCCTCGCCCGCCTGCAGGCCGCCGGCCACCCGGAGCTCCCTGGGCCTCGGGGTCCGCACCCTGTCCCGAGCCCTGTCCCAAGCTCCGCCTGACCGCCTGGGGACCTGGAGCGCCCCTCCACCTCCCACCGTCCCCCAAGCTCTCGCCCGCCGTCCTTTCTTCTCTGAGCGTCACTGTTCAGCTTTCCCTAGCTTTGACCCTAGACTGGAGCATCAGATCGGGGCCCACTGTCTCCCCTCCTCTAGACAACACCAAGCTCCCAAAATCAGGCTCATCACTCCCCTGGGAGCACTGTACCTAAGAAGGTGTTGGAGGAGTAGGTAATGGACTCCATTCTCCTTTAATAGGGTGTCAGACAGCACTGAGCCTCCCTCCCTTCCCCACCCCAACTCCCACAAATCAAAACAAAAATCAGCCACTCGGCCTGGCCTCCACCGACACAGAGCATGTGAAAGTAAAAGCCTCAATCTGGGGTAGAAACGACTGGCCTTTTCCGCCCGGTCCTGGCTCCTGCATCTCCATAACTCCAGGCTAGTCTGCCCTGTGACACTTGAGAACCGTGGGGCCTCCCTCGTGCAGGCCACCTGTGCTTCCTTTAGCAGATTCAATAATTTATTCAACAATTTTTTCTTATTTATTGAAAGCAAACTTGTACAAGGCAGGCCAGTCCCTCTCAGGGTGCCCTAGGCCCCCAAGTAGATGTGAGAGGTCACCACGGTTCCTTCATCCAGGACTTAGTGAACTGGGCAGACACCTGCATTCCTGGAGGCTGGGAAGAGGGTGTCAGTCTTGGAGAGGCAACAGAGAAGGCAGTGTGAGGCTCTAGGTGAGCACGGGGTGGGGACTCCAGGACCCTTCCCTGGGTTTCCAGGCAGCCTTTCCCCATTAAAGCTGCTTGCAGGCACTGGGAAAGGCTAGGGTGAGGAGGGGTGGGAAAGGAGAGAGGAAGATAGCCCAAGATTGGGCGGGGCAAGAAGCAAACTGGGGCCAAAGGCCATGTGTACCTCACTGTGGCCTCAAGGCTTGGTGGGGAAGAGCAGGCAGGTGAGTTCCCGGCTGCCACTGTGTCTGTCCACAAGGGACAGAGGGTGCCGCATGAAGTGCTGGACCATGGTGGCCACGGAGGAGAAGAGCTGGCCAGGGAGGCAGAGCATCCGTGAGTCCCATGAGCCTCATGCTGGGAGCAACTTCCTGAGGCAACTATGGGACTCTGGCAAAGGGACTTTTGACATTTTTCTAGATATCTTCCTTCCTGCTTGCCCCATGCTGCTCCACTGCCATTTTGCTGCCCCGTTCCAGGCCTCAGACAACTTTCCTGCTGCTGCACCCATGGGCACGCCGCTGGCCAGACTCCTATGTCCAAGGCTAGATCAAACTGACCCCAGGGCATGCCTCTGCCCTGGTACTCCAGTGTGGGGAGCGGTGTGATGGGTGTCTCTAGTTTGCATCCTGGCAAATGCTGGGTGCAACGTTGAGTCCTCGGGGGAAGTAGACGAGAGTCTGAAGATCCTGGACTCCACCCTCCTCCCAGCTGGGTTCATTAAAGGCACAGAGGCCCCTACCTCGACCCTATGCAGACTGAGTCATGGCAGGAGGGGCACCTCCCCACCAGAGGGCCAGGCATCTGGGAAGGAGTTCAGGGCTCTAGGCTCTGTCATTTCTGCCTACCCCAGAAAGATACAAAATGAGGGTTTTTCCCGAGACAAATGCTCTTGGCTGGGCCCGGGATACTGCTCTGCTGTCCCTCCTTAGGCCCCTGCCTCCTCCGGCTCCCACCTCCTCATGGTTCCTGCCCTCCCGGCCCAGGGCATAGTGGTGTCCACCATCCAGCCGCCGGATGGGAATGTTGAAGACCCGGCCTCGGAGAAGTACTGCCAGGGTGAAGGGCTGGGAGCCATGAGGCCCTGAGCTGGGGCGCACGGTGTAGGCCCCATCCTGTGGAGGAGACCCCAGCCATCAACCTCATCTTCCAATGGGCCTCCCACAGCCCTGAGCCATCATGAGGCCAGAACCCTCCTGGCTCTCCTGCTCCCCACTGCTCTGCCAGCTACAGCTTGTGAGTGGAAGGGGTTTCGGAGAAGACCCAGGGTCCGTGGCTGCCCACCTTTTGTAAGCGAAGCAGGGCACTCTCAACAGCATGGCGGTCACAATTCCCTGAGTACCAAGGCTGAGCCAGCAGGTCACTGTCCTGTGCATACACACAGCCACTCAGAGACGTGCCAGGGCACTCGATCCGGCATGGGGAGCCGAGGACACAGGGTGCAGTTATTTGCATTCCCATCGCCTTTGTTCAACTGAGTCCCCCGCAGGCAGAAAAAAGAGGTGTCCCTGTCTGGGGCACGGCGGGGTGCCGCACATGTGTGTTCAATATGTGTTCTCACGGTGGTGCATCCTTCAGCCCAAGAGGGTTCCTGGGGGAGGACTCTCAGGCTCTGCTCCCGGAACCCCTCCCTACAGCCTGCTCCCAGCCCCTCCTCACCTCAGCAGTGGAGGCGCTCCCAACTGGGGCTACAGAGGGAAAAGACGATTTCCTTCCTGCTAGAAGAAGGAGATTATTGAGCTGGGGTGGAGTGAGGGTGGGCAAAGGTGGCTTCTAGGGGACAGCTGCGGGGGCAGGGGGTAGAAGGAGGCGTGCATGGGCCTGAGGTGTGCATGGCAAGGGAAGCAGATGGAGCCAGGAGAGAGTGTTGTGCTGTAGGCAGCTGAGGGACTCCGGCAGGAGGGATCTGGAGCTGAGGGAGGGGCTCACCTGCATCGGGCTCACATTCCAAGTAGAGGTCCTCATCAGGTTTCTTTGGAGGGCCTAGCACCTAAGGTAGGGAGGGGTGTGTGGGACCATGGGTTTAACCAGTCCTGGGGTTCCATTAAGGACTAGGGGTTTTGGGGGAGGAGCCATCGATTTAGATTTAGAGTGGCAGGCACCTCACTCCCTCCTCACATGGTGATCCCTTCTGGGAGCCAGCTTGAATGATTACGATTTCTCCTCTGTCCAAGAGGGGGCATCCCACTAGCACCTTCCCCTTCAGAGGTGCCCACGGGACCCAGCTCTCGGAGACTGTGAGGAGGAGCCCTGGGCAGCACCCTCAGGACAGCTGGCTCATTGCCTGCCAGGGGCCTGTGGCCAAGGGGCAGGGGCCCTGCTCTGGGCCTTTTCCCTTGGTTTCAGGGATATTTCTCCTCTCTAACCCCCCACCCCACCCCTGCGGTTTCCTAACCAGAACCCTGGAAAGTGAGGAGGAGATGGAAGGGCTGCTCACCACTCTGGACGATGCACCCTGCTCTGGAAGGAAAAGGAGAGAACCACCTGTCACGCAGGGCAGGGAGCAGAAAGGAATTCAGTGGGACTGAGGCTGAAAGAACAGAGACTCCTTAGGGCGCCTCTGAGGAGGGCATCTCAGAGCCAGCTTTGAAACCCCATGAGAAAGCTTTTCTCATCCCCTAGTAGTTCTCTGCACAGCCCTATGGTGTCGCCTGTCCTGACCTCCCAGCAAACTTGCCAGGCCTGGCTCCAAAGACTTTGGACTGTTCAAAAAATCATAGCAGCCGGGCACAGTGGCTCATGCCTGTAATTCCCAGCACTTTGGGAGGCCAAGGCAGGCAGATCACTTGAGGTCAGGAGTTCGACGCCAGCCTGGCCAACATGGTGAAATCCCATCTCTACTAAAAATACAAAAATTAGCCAGAAATCACTTGAACCCGGGAGGCAGAGATTGCAGTGAGCCAAGATCGTGCCACTGCACTGCAGTCTGGGTAACAGAGTGAGACTCTGACTCAAAAAAAAAAAAAAAAAAATCCGAGCAGCCGAGCCAAAAAAAAAAAAAAAGAGCAGACTGCTTCTGTGGGATCTTAGGCACAGCATTTCGTATCTCTGGGCCGCAGTCTCCTCATTCATTTCATTAGAGACACCGCCGCCTGCCTGCCTACCTTAGAGGATTGGTAGGTATAAAGGGGCACAGCCAGGGGAGTGCCATGAAAGGGCAGGGTATGAGACCCATGTCAGGCAAGCACAGCTCTACTCCGTGGTGGGAGGACTCCCCGTCCCAGGGTGGAGCCACAGAAAGAGAGGACATCACCATTACCTCGCCTCCCGAAGACAGGTCTCTGCTTCCTGGCCACCGGCAGGCTCACTGCTCCTGTCAGCTGTGGGCACTGTGGGGCCCGTGAGGGCGGATGAGGGAAGGAAACTGAGGCACCAGTTTCCTTCCAGGAGGGCAAGGATGGGGCAGGATAGGATGGGATGGGACCACTTGTATCTGTGTAGCTTTAAAAAATGTACAAAAGGGATGACTCTTCTCTTTGCTTCTACCCTGTGGCTCTTTCTTTGTTGTGAATCACTCCCTGCTTTTTACAAAAATTCCAGTGAAATGTATGATAAAGGTGGTAGCTTTCAAAATCCATAAAGTCCCACTGGGATAAAGGTGAGAATGGGAGCTGGCAGTGACTGGCAGCTGAGGAAGGGATTTCTTCACTCTAGAGATGGGGAGGGGTCCTCAGGTACCGGAATCCAAGGGAAGGGCAGCTGAGCCCCTCCCTTCCCCCTCAGACAGATGAGAAGGGCACTGTGGGGGAAGCTGAAGGGGAGGGTGGAAGGACCAGGTCAGGCGAGCTGGAGGAGTGACTGACAGCGGCAAGGCTCTGGCTTCTCATGCATCTGGCATCTGATTTTTCAGGGGCCTCTTGAATGCAAATGTGGGGGAATCTTGCAAATGAGATGCCTCTAAGATTCACTCACTGGGAAATGGCAGCCTGGGGTGGGGCGAGTGGGGAAGGAGGGACTTCTGGGGAGGCCTCTCACCATGCTAGGCTGAGGCAGGGGTGGCGATGGCTTTGACGGACCCAGGGGGCCAGAGTGATCTGGAAAAGACCGCATGTGTTGTGAGTTGGTGGGTTCCTCCCAGGTAGGTTCCCATTTTCCTCCCGCCCCCCCCCAACACCAGCCTCCATTTCCTCCTCCTTCCCTCACTCCCCTTGTTCATTGGCTTCCTGACAGCCCAGTCTCCATGGCAACTGGAGGCGGGCAATTTCCCTGCCCCCACCTGGCCGAGGAGCTGAGCAGTGGGAGTGGGATGCCAGCGGCAGCCGGGGCTCTCCCAGCACCCCCGCCCTTGGCCTGAAGAAGTGTTGGGATCTCAGAAGGGGAATGCCAGGCCCCCGCTGTTGCCCTGGTTACACCACTCCTCCTCTTCCCTTCCCACTCTTCTTCGTCCCTCCCCTCCTCCCTCCCTCAGTTCCTTCATCTCTCTCTCTCCCTGCCTAACCAAGAGGCCCTGGTGACTGCCAGCTGAGGCCTCCCTTGCTGCCTCAGTGCGGGGAGGGGAGGAGAGGCAAGGCCTATGCCCTCTTGTCTTGTGGGGACCCTCCTGCCCTACCCAAGCACCTGGTCTCCCTGCCTCCCACCTCCCAGCCCTCACCCAGGTACAAGGAGTCCTCCTCAGTGCCAGGAAGGTGGGCAGGGGCTAGACTGAGGGGCAGAGCCTCACAGGGCGGCAGCTCGTACTTATTCTCCTCCTCGTCCTCCTCCTGGGCCTGGAGGAAGGGATGCACAGCAGGAATGGAGGGGAGAGGGTGTTCAGGGCAGGCTCTAGCAGCTGCCTCCCCCACCCCAACCTCAGTAGCCAGACTCACCTTGTGTCTCCAAGTCCCTGGGGCAGGCAGAAAGGAAGGGCTGGGAGCATCTTCTCTCCAACCTGGGGAGTCTGGACAGACAGGCTGGCCTCACCTCCTCCCTGCCCACCTTTCCCCAGTATAATAAACCACCCACCCTGGACAGCTTCAGTGCTTCAACTCAAAGAAACCACTCATCACAGGTATTTCCAATGCTGTCGCAGGGCCACTGAGGTAGGCAGTTTGGAAACAAGGGGCCCTTCCACCAATGCCCATCCCCTGTCCCCCGCACCCTTGATTCTGGCCAAGACAGATGGGAGAGCTAGGCCCCTGTGACTCAGCAGTGCTGGGCTCTGGGAGGCAGGAGGTGTGCAGAGTCACTCTGGGGGGACCTGACTTGCAAGGGATCCCAGTCTGTTGGGCCCCCCTGACCCATTGTGTCACTTACCTACACATCTGGGGGGTGGGAGCGGTGGCCACAGCCTGCAAGCACATTCTAGTCAACTCTGCCCAAGGGGCCCTCGAGTTTGTATGAGACAGACACTGTGTTGTGGGACATTCACATCCATGACAATGTGACTGACAGAGGCCCTGGGAGCAGGGCAGCAGAGGAGGCGGCTGGGGGCAGAGCTGGTGCCAGTGGGCGCATAACTGCATGAGTTGGTGCCCTGGGAAAGCCAGGAGCCAGGGAGCCCTAGTGCTGACAGGAAGTGGAGGCGTGTGAATGGTCTCCCTGGGCAGAGAGGAGCCAGGCAGAGTCAGCACAGCTCCTGGGATGGCTGTGCCCAGGAGAGGAGGGGTAGAGAGAGACAAGACGGGAAGGCAGGGGAGAGAGGAGCCCCAGTACTCACCGGGGCCTGCTCCCACTGCGCTTGTCCTGGAAAGAGCCAGGGTGGAGAGTAGAGGGGTCAGTGCAGCCGGGATGCCTCTCCGTGGCGGAGTCCTGGGCCTCCCGGGTGGGCAGGTTTGTGTACCTGGGGCTGTCCCGTCCTGGGACCACATCTTACCATGGCAGAGGCAGAGAAGCTTTGCCTCCCTGGAGCCCAGGATCTGCCACAAATGGCCTGGGGACAAGGGCTCCATTGTTCCCATCATTTGCATCTCCTAAACACCAGGAAGGTAGATCTGCTGTGGCCTCCAACCCCAGACCAACTTCATCCAGGACACTCCCAGAGCCCAACCCCAGGTCTCTGAGCCTCCCCAAGGCAGGCCTCCCCCGTCTGTGGTCTCCAGCCCCTCTGCCCAACAAGAGGAAAAGTTAAGCTGGACCAGTGTTCTCAGGCTTCCTTCAGCTCTCTGATAAGTGTCACCTTTCTCAACTCATAGACAACATTACGTTATTAGGCAGATCCAATTAAAAACAGCAGGCTGGCCTTGCAGACACTTTTCTTAAACGCTTTACTGCTGTTGTCGTTTGCTGGTGAGTGGTAACCAATGATTAAGGAAATGAAGGTGAGGGAGGCACTTAGAAAGAGGCTCTCATATTTAGTGTGACAGCTTCATTTTTTGATGGATGCATTTATCCATTCAGTGGGTATTTATTGAACATCCACTGTCTGCCAGAGACTGTTCCAGGCATTGAAGATGCCATAGGAAAACGAAGCAGGCAGGCATTACGTGTGTTTCCTCATTGGATTCTCACAGTAACGTCATGCTGCAAGTACTGGTTTTATCCCTGCTTTTCAAATGAGGAAACTGAGTGTATTAGTCAGCTCGGGCTGCCATAACCAAAACCCACAAACTATGTGGCTTAAGCAACAGAAATATCATTTTCTCACTGTTCTGGAGCTAGAAGTCCAAGATCAAGGTGCCATAAGGATTGGTTTGTGATGCGGCCTCTCTTCTTGGCTTGTAAACAGCTGCTTTCTCTCTGTCCTCACATGACCTCTTGTCTGTGCACGCGCAGAGAGAGGCGGTTCTGGTAACTCTTCTTCTTATGAAGGCACCCACACTCTCAGATTAGGGCCCCACCCCCATGACCTTATTTATTTTTAATGACCTCCCTAAAGACCCTATCTCTAAATAGTCACATGGGGGGTTAGGATTTTAGCATATGAATTTTAAGGGAACACAATTCAGTCATAACACTGAGGCTCTGAGAAGTTGAATAGCTTTCCTGAGGTCATGCAATTAGCAAGTGTTGGAAATGGGATTCAACCTGAGCTCTGCCTGCCTCAGAGCCTGTGCCCTAAAAGCTAAGCATTCTGTACCTCACCAGGATTGGGTCTGGACCCTCCTTTCCTACGATGGAATTAGCAGTGCTAATTGTGACCTTCCTCAAGGAGCTTATGACTTCCAGGGGCTCTGTTACCTGAGTGAACTTTGGAACTCTGTCGCGATAAAAATGAGGGCCGGGGCCTGGTGTCTGACTGTTTAAGTCAGGGAATGAGGAAACACAGAGCCCAATCATGAATGATGACACGAGGACTTCTAAGGCCCTGGAGCTTTCTGGTGCTTATTACTTCGGTGGCATCCTGGTTGTTGGTGCAAAGGAGAAATAAGCCCACGTACTTGCATCTTTGGAGGCCACCAGGCTGGGGGCACTGGAGAGACACCCAGGGATGGAGAGGAAGACCAGACAATTCCTGGGACCTGCAGGCAAAAGGGCATCCAAGAAACCAAGAAGAGTCATTGGGGTGGCTTCACAGGGGGCCCATTTGGTACAAAGGGAAAAACGGAAAAAACAAGAAGAACAAATCCTCACCCAGAATTGGTTCTACTGGGTCTATTCTTTGTCCTCCACTCCCAGCTGACCTTTCTTCCACATTTAAACCATAAGGCAAGGGGCAATTTCCCTCACCCAAGGGGGCCTCATTTGGAATCAGGGTCAGTAGGAGGTTCTGGACACCACCCCACTGTAAACCTTAGCCTGAGCGAGTTTCCCAGTGCACGCTGCCCTCCCTCTAGCCACCTCCCTTCTCTGCTCAGGGCTTTGCATAGGCAAATGCCAGGGCTTGGGTGAGTGAAAGGGCCCCAGGCAGAGGGCAGAGTCCATGCCATCTGGGTGGGGCACTGGCCTGGGCAGATCTGGGAGAAGGGAAAGGAAAGAGGCCTGCCTCTGTGGCCTCATGTCGTCACACAGGCAGATTGGGATATCCTCTGTATCCATCTTTGGCACGGAATTGCTCTGTACACACCATAGATATTCCCTGGGATGAATTCCTGGAAGCGGACTTGCTAGAAATTCACATTTTGAAGGTATAATGCCCCATTGTCCGGCAGCACCTAAGTGCCTGTTTTATGGTCCTTCCACAGCACAAAGTGATTCTCCAACTTTTTCAGGTCTCAGCTACTGAGAACAGGCCATGGGCCCAAGGCAGTCTAAATCCACCCTCAGAAAACACACAGCCTAGTTTAGAAAAAACTCAAATGGATTTCTCCCCTGCTCTCACACAACAGCAATCAACACAGAGCAGACTTCTGTGACCAAACGTGGTGGCAGGGTGGGCAGCTCTCCCCACCACCCAGTGAGCAATCAGCTCTGCAGCAGACACAGTGGGGTGTCCTCCAATCCACTTCCAATACTACCTACCTGGAGACAGAGTCAGAGCCCACAGGTTGAGGGCTTAGTCCCCAACAGGCCCGTCCTGCCACCTCAGATACCAGGCACAAGTCTGGGCCTCCAGAACTTCCGACCAACTGGCTTCAAGCTGGGGTTCCCACAACCTCTTCTTTGGGTTTGATTAATTTGCTGGAGCAGCAGCTCACAGAATTCAGAGAAACACTTACTTATGTTTACTGGTTTATTATGAAGGATATTGCAAAGGATGCAGATGAAGAGATGCGTAGGGCAGAAATAGTGGGAATGGGTGTGGAGGCTCTGTGCCCTCCCTGGGCACACCACATTCCAGGAGCCTCCACGTGGTCAGCTATGCAGAAGCTCTCTGAACCAGGCCTCTTGGGTTTTTATGGAAGATTCATGCCTACAGCATTCCTTCCCCCAGCGTATGAGGCAGGACCCTCTCTGGAATTAGGGTCACACAATCACAAAGGTGGAGGAAGATTAGAGTCCAGCCTTGGGCAGGTGAAAGGAGGACAGGACAAAGCCAGAGAGATTCTGTTTCCCGAGGCCTGCTCCTGAAGCCTAACACAGCCAACATCATAACCAAAGGCTCTAAACAGAGCTGTGGGAGTTATGAGCCTGGAACCATGGACAAAAACCTACATATGGAAGAAGTACTCAAGGTCATTTTTGCCAGCAGACAGAGCAGATGGCGAAGTGTAGCCGGAACCCCTGGTGTGAGTGAAGTGAGATCCATTGCAAGGAGGAGTCTGGAGGTGGCTCTGAGGACCTGCAGGGGGACAGGTAAGCAGGCTGTGGTCAGAGGTCTCAGAGGTGGGAGAGCACAGCATGTGGAGGAAGAGCCGCGGAGATGTGGGTGGCTGGGCTCACCAAGAACAGAAGGGGACATCTGCCATCCTTTTTGGCTGCTAAACATGCCCTACGTTTGGGGAGTTCTCCACCTCATGAATCCTCGTTTCCAATTGCAGAAGCCAGGTGAGGCCTTCCCAACCTCCCCTTGCCACTGAGGTGCAGGCTGTGCCAGCCAGAGGCCCCGTGCCAGACTCTGAATCTGTAGCAGGCATCAAGACGAAGGCACCCTGGGAGGGTGGTGACAGCCAAATCCTGTTTCCAGAGGCTTAGGGGGGTGAGCCCTTAGCGCCACCACCCAGGGCCCAAATCAGTGGCATTGGCAAACAGTGGTGTCAGTGCCCAGGATGGCTCTGCCAGGCTGGCTTGGCTGTGACCTTTGGGACATTATTCCTGGCTAACTCTCTGGCCCTGCTGGAGATACTATGAGCTACAGAATAGTTTTAATAAATTATTTTCCAGCCTAAACTAGCTAGAGTCTGTTTCTCTTACTTTCAGTTAAGAACTTTAATCCAGCCAGGCATGGTGGCTCATGCTTATAATCCCAACACTTTGGGAGGCTGAGGCGGGTGGATCACCTGAGGTCAGGAGTTTGAAACCAGTCTGGCCAACATGGTGAAACCCTGTCTCTACTAAAGAAATACAAAATAATTAGCCAGGCATTATGGCAGGCACCTGTAATCCCAGCTCTCAGGAGGTTGAGGCAGGAGAATAGCTTGAACCTGGGAGGCAGAGGTTGCAGTAAGCCGAGATTGCGCCACTGCACTCAAGCCTGGGCAGTAAGAGTGAAACTCCGTCTCAAAAAAAAAAAAGAACTTTAATCTGGGGATGAAACCTCAGAGTCAGTGGGACCACCAAATGGATGCCAAGAAACCCAAACAGTGAACCCAGGTATGGGTGTCTCCTGGGAAGGTGGAACCAGAAAGAACTAAATGTGATAGCATTATACCTGTATAGTCTTGGGAATATTTATTTATTTATTTTGAGATGGAGTCTTGCTCTGTTGCCCAGGCTGGAGTGCAGTGGCATGATCTCGGCTCACTGCAACCTCCGCCTCCCAGGTTCAAGCGAATCTCCTTTTTCAGCCTCCCAAGTAGCTGGGATTACAGGCACGTGTCACCATGCCCGGCTAATTTTTGTATGTTTAGTAGAGATGGGGTTTCACTATGTTGGCCAGGCTGGTCTCAAACTTCTGACCTTGTGATCCACCTGCCTCAGCCTCCCAAAGTGCTGGGATTACAGGTGTAAGCCACCGTGCCCAGCCAGGACTATTTATTTTTAGAGATAGGGTCTCACCCTGTCACCCAGGCTGGAGTGCAGTGGCACCACCATAGACCACTGCAACCTCAAACTCATGCCTCAAGTTTAGGTTAGGACTCAAGTGATCCTCCAGCCTCAGCCTCCCAAGCAGCTAGGACTACATGCTCATACCACTAGGCCCAGCTAATTTTTAAACATTTTTTGTAGACATGAGGTCTTGCTATGTGGCCCAGGATGGTCTCAAACTCCTGGCCTCAAGTGATCCTCCTGCCTCAGCCTCCCAAAGTGTTGGGATTATAGGTGTGACCTACTGTGCCACACCATTAATTATTTTTATAATTTAAAAAAATCAATATAGAGAGAAAGAAAAAGAAGGGAGGAAGGGAAAGACGGAGGGAGATGTGATCTGGACTTCAAATATGAGGAAGCACAGGAAGACAGAGACACCAGGGGAAGGTAGGGCCAGGGAGCAGGAGGCCAGGCCAATGGGAGGTTATGTGGGGGCCAGTACGGGAAAGCCAGGTTTCCGTTCTTGAGGGGAGTGGAAGAGAGGTACTGATGACACAAGGATTCCTCTCCAAGCAGAGTGGGAACCCACAAAGGCAACTGAAGTTTAGGTGGGGTAGAAAGGAAAGAACTTTCTGAACATGAGGTTAGGGCCAAGTGTGTGGGGAGAGGTCTGTCCCTGAGGAAATAGGGGGACATGGTGGGGCAGGGAGCTGCATGTGGAGGAGCCCCCATGAGGGCAAGGGGCCTTGAGTCCTCAGGACATTTTTGCCAGAGCAGGTGCTCAGGTTAGAGGCCCAAGACGTTCCTGGTGGAAGGGCCTACAGCCAACTGAACTCTGTGGTTGGGTTCACATTAAAGCCAGGGGCAATCCTGGTGGACAGCAGTTTGCAGTATGGAGGGAAGGGGCTGTCCTGGGCCAATGGATGATGGGGCTGGCTTCGCACAAGCTGGCAGAGGCCCCTCTTCCTCCCTCGCCTGCTGCCGTCACAGGCCTGCTGACTCAGCTGACTCTGGGGACAGCTGTGATGGGCAATGAAGGGTTGACAGAGCGAGGGACAGATGGCTCCCTAGAAGAGGCCTCTGCCCCATCCCTCCCTGGTGCACAATCATTTCTTGCCACAGTTTCAGAGCTTTGTGAGAGACCATCCCTCTGTCTCCCCTGGCAGTGGGTAGAAAGTCTGGTGTGTAGTTTGCTGGCCAGGCACAGTGGCTCACGCCTGTAACCCCAGCACTTTGGGAGGTCAAGGCAGGTGGATCCATTGAGGTCAAGAGTTCGAGACCAGCCCGGCCAACGTGGTAAAACCCCGTCTCTACTAAAAATATAAAAAATTAACCGGGCGTGGTAGCACACACCTATAATCCCAGTTACGCAGGAGGCTTAGACAGGAGAATCGCTTGAACTTGGGAGGTGGGGGTTGCAGTGAACCAACATTGTGCCATTGCATTCCAGCCTGGGCAACAGAGTGAGACTCGTCTCAAAAAAAAAAAAACAAAAACCGGCCGGGTGCAGCGGTTCATGCCTGTAATCCCAGCACTTTGAGAGGCCAAGGCCAGCAGATCATCTGAGGTCAGGAGTTCGAGACCAGCCTGGCCAACACGGTGAAACCCTGTCTCTACTAAAAATACAAAAATTAGCCAGTTGTGGTGGCACGTGCCTGCAATCTTAGCTACTAGGGAGGCTAAGGCAGGAGAACTGCTTGAACCTGGGAGGCAGAGGTTGCAGTGAGCTGAGATCGCACTATTGCACTCCAGCCTGGGTGACAAGAGTGCTAAGGCAGGAGAATTGCTTGAACCTGGGAGGCAGAGGTTGCAGTGAGCTGAGATCGACTATTGCACTCCAGCCTGTGACAAGAGTGAAACACCTGTCTCAAAACAAAACAAATGCCAAGCAAACAAACAAAAAGTCTGTGTGTAGTTTGTCTGGTTTTTGTGAGCTGAGATCGCACTATTGCACTCCAGCCTGGGTGACAAGAGTGAAACACCGTCTCAAAACAAAACAAACAAGCAAGCAAACAAACAAAAGTCTGGTGTGTAGTTTGTCTGTTTTTCTGGAGGGCATTCCACTAGTTCTGCTCAGGTTCTCCAAGAGTTAGGCTCAGGGCTGAAAGTTGAGGTTGGCTTTCCCCAGCCTCTAGGGTACAGTGTCTGAGCCAGAAGCACCCTCTTCCGTCTGTCCCACTCACCTGTCCTGCCCTGCCCTGTTCCGGAACCTTTGCTCATAGTAGCTCTGGTCGTGTCACAGCTCTGCCTAAAACCCTTGAGTGACTCCTCATGGCTCCTTGAACACAGACCAAATGCTTCTTGATGCCTGGAAAGATCAGGCCCTTCATACCTCCCCAGTCCCAGTCCCTCCATTGTTTCCCAGGGACTTCCTCACATTCACCTTCTCTCTCTGCTCTTCCAACATGACTGAGGCCCAGGCAGACCATTCTGCTTCCTGTTGACTTAAGGAACTTTTAGTTAAATTTCTAGATATTTACTCAATTCTTACTGAATATGACAAAGAGAGAGAGCATTCTTTTTTATTTTTTAAATTTAAAAACAGATATGGGGTCTCACTATGTTGTTCAGGCTCGTCTTGAACTTTTGGGCTCAAGCAATCCACCCGCCTCAGCCTCCCAAAGTCTTGGAGTCACAGGCGTAAACCACTGCACTCGGCCAAGAGGGCATTCTTAATATGCAGCAAAACAATGAAAAGAAAAGAAAAGAAAAGAAAGAAAGAAAAAAAGGACTCTTCTATATGTGTATCATACTTCAAAAACTGTTGCCCCCAAAATGGCAATATCTTCTTCACAGATGTCCCCGTCTCCCAGAGCCCAGCCCTCTCCCCTCCACCTCGGCTCTTTATCCTGCACTCAGTCACAGTCTCTTTAGCTGTCCAGTTTCTGCCCCCAAGAGAGCCCAGGAGGTGGCCAAGTGCACAGGAAACCCGGGTGAGGCTGGTTGTGGGGGAGAGTGGTTGCAAACACAGTGTGACATGGTTTCTTTCCACCCTTTCTAATCTCCACCAGGCCCTTCTTATCTGGTGTGTACACTTGCTATTCCTCCTCTGAAACATCCTGGCCCCTTTCCTCCCTCCTCCTGCAGGCCCTAGCTCAGGTGACCCTTCCTCAGCAGCAGGGGTTCCAGACCAGGGCAGTCCCCTACCCCACTCTCTGAGCTCCCACCATAATTAAACCTACAGGTTTATTTCGCAGCTAGACTATAAACTCCCACACTTGACTACATGCTATGTAAATGGGCAGCCACTGTGTCTGCCAAGTTCACGGCCAAATTCCAAGAGCCGGGCCCACAGCCTGGCACACAGCAGGCTCTCAATCAATATTTGTTGTAGCTGCTATTCAAGTCTTACTCATTCTTTACAGGTTGTGCAAAGCCTGCCTCTCTGCAAACATCTTTGGTCTCTCCTCTCTGAAAGGCCCGTGTCTTGCCCATTTCCTGTCCATATGTCATCGACTACCAGGCCTAGGCTGAGGCACAATCCCCCGAGGTCCCGGCTGTGTTTATCTCCTGAAAACCCTTTTCCCCAGTGCAGATGGATCACCAAGGACTCCCTCACACTCACCTTCTCTGGTTCTCTGGATACCTCTGGCTGACCTTCTCCACCCCACTGGGTCCTTTCCTCTATTTGCCTTCCTTAGCGGGAGCGGCCAGCGTCTCGTTCCTCCCCTACCCTCTCCCTCCTCCACCAAATGTAACATGGCCCTGCTTAGGCTTCCTTCTTCAGCACAGAGCCCGGGAGCCAAGCTTCTCCTGCTCCCAGCCCCTCTTCTACCCTCCCCTTTAGGAGAGACTGGACATGGTGTCTCCCCGACATCTCCAACCCCACCTCCTTCCTTGATGGTCCTGGAGGGTCCTGAGATCGATCACTCCCGCTCCCTTTTACCAACAGAAAAGCCGAGGCCAAAGAAGAATGGATGTTGGCCAAGGCCATACGATGTACACGGAGCCAAAGCCACAGTTCCCTCATCCCCTCCCGGGCCACTGTGGGGACCTGAGCAGTCATTCCACAGGAGAGGGCGACCCCTGGTGGTTAGGAGGGGCATGGCAGCCTGTCGCTCATTTCCTGGGCCCGGAGGCTGATGGTGGAAGAGGCGAGGCCTGGAGGACCACCGACCCAGGCTTTAGTCATCAGGAAGGTAAATAAAGGCAAGGCCCGTGGAGCGAAAGAACCCAACTTTTGCTGGGCTTTGCCCTTC